AAAAAAGCCAATCTAATGTGCAACATTATGAAAAAAAAACTACACACATCCATTAACACTTGTTTCTAGAAAGCACATCGTTCGCATTCCACATTTAACACTACTCTACACAATCTAAGTCACTATTTGTTACATTTCACCGAATGTTACGCACTCACCATTACATGGTCGAAAATGGTAAGTCCGTGCGTTCTGTGAAGAAGCTGACGTCAAACTGCCGACTGTCTTTCGGCATGCATTCGATTTTTGAAAACAGCTGAGACCGATCAGTCGGGACCCTTCCGCGCATGTGTGAAGTTCGATAACCTAGCTCCGATTAAAATGGACTACCTGGCCAGATACACTGACTTGAATGACACTTTTTGAGTAAAAAAATAATTGGAACGTCAGCATTTTTCCGCGTCGCGAGTTATCTTATTGCTGAAAGCCGCCATTTTAGGTCGCGTTTTCGCACTGCGCATGCGGGGTGTTAAGGGCAAGGGTTGCTTGCAGACGTCTACGGACGGTCTAATAATAACTTCCACGAGGGTCAACCGAGTAATTGTGGACAATGTTCACCTTTATAGCATTCAAGGAATGTTTTGCAGCTTTACTGAGAATTTGTTATAGTTTCATGAAACGCTATTTTACAAAAAATCTTAATCTTAACGAGTTAATAACACGCTTCAGATATTTAAATAATAATAACGTTTAAAAGTTTTCCACCACTTATCTTTTTCCGAGAAAACATGAAATGCTTCATTAGTTTTATGGTAGTTTTGTTTATGTAAAGCAAACATTCTTTTACGGTTTTGCATTCCGAGCCCAGTCTAGATACGTTTCTCTGAAGTCACATTATGTAGGTGTGTACATATTTTTTTATGATTCTAAGGGAAGTACCTACTAAAAGGAAAAGTTACTGCGTCCATATCCATAAGTTTGTTTTCTCAATTTTGATTTTTTTTTTCAGTGAAAGTAATTTAACCTTCGGCAGGCAACACTTTTTTTGTATACGTAAAAGGCAACAGGGGTGACCAGTCACCCCACAAATATAATTTGAAATAAAATAGCTTTGTAATGAAAAATCAAACTTATTAATGATTAGATCTATTACTTTGTTTCATTATAAAACTAAAAATGCTTTCATTTAACAATTTATATATTTTTAATAAATTAATTTGTACATAAAGCACCGTTAAAGCAAATATCTTTTCGATTTTCAGGGCATGAGGGTAGTTGACATTTTATACGAGATGTCATAATTTTTTTGTTCAGTTTTCTTTGACACAGCACTCACCTTGCCTGCTTCTATAACTTTGCTGAAGGTGCACCCTCAGGAGGTCCCTAGTTCATATTTAGAATGCCATGTGTAATTGCTCTATAATTCTCGCATCTCTCGCAAGAGTTACTATATTTCGTCGAGCTGTTTGACTCCAAGGTGATGAAACCAAGAAGACCAAACATGTCTGTTCTTACATAGTAGCACATTTTGTTTGAATTGTGCTAGTAGAACGTCATCGTCGTAACAATTTTTCGCTATTGGAAATAAAGACTTCCTCCTCCGACTGAACTGAGATATTGTCTTCAATTTTGGAAATCTTAATATCATCTGAGCAGCGTTTATCATAGAAATTGACATCAGCAAGTCTATAAATGTATTTTTCGATTTGACCATCCGAAAACAAAGCCATTTTTACTCCAAAACTAATAATTTGCTTTAGCAACACGAAAAAATAAAGTATACGTAAAAGGCAACAGGGGTGATGAGTCACCCCAGCAGTGTCAAAATATCAAAAACAGGAAACTAACGCGATATGTTGACGAATGCGGCTAATAGCTTTCCCTCTAATTAGAGAATAGACCAAACGACAGAAAGACACAACATCAGCAACTAAACGTATCAAGACTTTTTTGAACTGGTGGGGTGACCAGTCACCCCTGTTGCCTTCCGAAGGTTAAACAAACACATTAAGAGTTAACTTATTCAATTTAATTAAAAAACAAGCATTCATTTTTTTTAAGACAGAAGTAAAAATAAAACGTAAAATTACTAATCCGTTTATAATTAATAGTACCTACCTACTTAGTAAATTGTAGATTCACTTTTACGAAACACAATAACAAATTATAAATTCTAATTTAATCTACTACAAATATTATCTTTCCGGTCTTGCTTAACTCATTATTAGGGTACTGGTATATTTTTTATGTTTTTGTTTAAAAAAAGGCGCCTAGTTTCATTTTTAATGTGAAGTCGATTAATTAAATTAATAATTTTGTCAAAATGACTAGCTAATAAACTATATTTAACTTTAATGGCTATTAATAAATAAATAACTCAATAGCGTCAGTATGATATAAATACAACATACTGAACCCTTACATTTATGTAAAGCAGTTTATGGTCTTCGCTTTTTCACGGCTAGACGCCTCTTACACAATGAGATGATGATAATAAGCAGTGTTATTGAGTTAACTTTAAAAAAGAAATAAACAAAACCTCAAGAAGTTTTGCTGAAGTAATTACAAACTCTACTTTATTGACCTTCGCTTACGCAGACGTGAAAATCAATAGTCTCCGGTCAGCGCTAGCTTGATTTGTAAGATGTTGTGCCTACTCAGCAAAAACTTTTCATGTAAGTAACCTCTACATCAGAGCCACAGTAAACATGCTACTCAAATGCCCGTTTTCACCATAAATCCACAGTTTTTAAGTGACCTCTATGAAAACAAAATGCCTGTTATGTGTTACCATAGGGGTCACTTAAAAATTAGGGATTGATGGTGAAAACGGACATTAGCTTACGATCGGCGCTTTTTAGAAGCTGAAAGCAGCGACCAAACACTTAACACTGCGTGCTCTAAAAACGCCAAACATGGCGATTGAGTCGCTTTTCGGCAGCTCGATGCATTTCATAGCATAGCACTAGGACCATTTCATAGCCTTTCATAGCTGGCTATGAAATGGGAAAAAACCCATTTTGAAACTGGCTTCAAACTGACAATCTTCGAAATGTTCGAAACTTTTTTTCCAGTCGTTAAAACGCGCGATTCCAATACTGCGTCACTCCGAACGCATGAGTCGCAAAGTCGCGGATGCTTAACATCTCTGCTGTGGACTTTATCTATTTATAATAATATAGGTATTATGTGCCCTTATAAAATAATCAATCCAGATACCTACTCATGACGTAAGTGTTCATCTTCCAGCCAGGTACCTATTATTTAACTTTTTAGGTCAACCTTAGAATAAGGTATAATACTTATTCCGTCTCTACCTTGTCAGGAATTCATGTCAAAAATCTCCACAGCAGAAACATGACCCTTTCTAATTTACCCAGGCGGATTTGGTCTAGGTACAGTCTACACTCCCTATGCCAGCCAGACGGTCTGGGGAGGCACGTAAGGCTTGGGGAGGCACGTAAGGTTTGGGGATTCACCTTTAAAACCACACTTTGCTTATAATGGTCACTTGAAATAGAACTTAAATAAGTCAAAGTCAAAGTCAAAATTTCTTTATTTGTTTGGACTAATAAATAGTTCTTACAAATCGTCATTTTGCTCTTAAGGAGCCTCTACATGTCTCATAATCTTTTTACCCTACCAGCGCTTCGAGACCAACATTTGGCAAGTGCTGAGAAGAAGCGCCGCAACAAACTCAGTCACCACTGTCTGCCGGTTAATATAAATAAATAGAAATAGTAGTAGTAGGTACATTCGATTCAGGAGCAGTTCACTGAATTTACCATGCATTCTTGTATGGTGTATCTTATAAGAATGGGTATACAAGATTGCGTGGTATATTAAACAAGGTAGTGACGTGCTAATATCTAGACTTACATATTAAGATACTAGTAGAAATGACTCGCATACATAAATTTGAATAACTTGGATTGACCAGTCCCCGAAAGCAGCGCCTGTTCACAGACATGACGAGTGAACCAGCCATCGCTTCACTCGACCATATTAGAGGGAATGTAACGACCCGCCTCACTACGCCACCACCCCAGAGACATTTTAGTGAGAATGACAATTCCAAGTTATCTCTTTAAAATAAAAAACTAATAATAAAGCTAAGTAACAGTCCAGATTGAGAAGCATGACACTATAACATTTGAGAAATTATTATGAGTTTATATTACTTTTCATTTTAATTCTTTTTAGTGCGAGCATAAGAGGACCATAATCCTACTCCCAGGATGACTTATCATTAAGAAAATCTCGAGTTGTATAATAGGCTTTTTTAAGCATGTGATCTTTAACTATATCTTTAAATTTATTATACGGTAGCTCTTTATATTTATCAGGGACTTTGTTATAAAAATGGATACCTTGTCCCATAAAAGAGGCAAACACTTTATTAAGTATTTATTAATGTACCTATTTAGATTTTGAAGTGGGATCTTGACTTCATGAAATTGTCGGACTAATCACGCATCACACTGTGCATCTATAGAAGCATTTCTTAAGATGTTCATAAAGTGATGTTCTGATCTGACCTACTTGCGCATCGCTTCAATCGAAACAATTTGCTTGCGTAAACTATAAAAATGAAAGGCACAAATTAATGTTGTGAAGGCTTTTGTAACACCATTACGAAAAATAAAATAAAACTGGCGAGCAATACAAACCTATATTCTTAAGTGGCGAGTACCTACTTAGGAATTGTTTGGTAATGAATGTTATGTGATCTCAGATTTAGGTACAATTTATAGAATCCATAAAAGGAATTAAAAAGAACCCATCAATTCGTTATTTTGCACTTTTGTTATTATTTATTTATGAAAGAAAATGCAAAGAGCTTGGGGAAAAAAATCTAAAAGCGACATCTAGTGAATTCAGCATCAGTTATATAATTAGTTTAGTGCCATCTAGTGGCGAGTAGACAACTTATTTTGCCGTGTCAGAAAGTTTATTTAATATTTAACAAATAGTTTTGGTTCTAAATTCGAGATGGCGCGACAATAGCAAAAAGCATCGACTTGTCAATGGAAGCTGACAAACCACAGACAAATCAGAATGTCAACTTGTCAAGAAAGTCAGCAAATGTCAAAATACGGGCAACGGCTGGTGGTATTTGAATTTTCTATTTCTAAATATTTTCAATAAATCAGACGAAACAAGTAATTAAATGTAATAGAAAATGGACAAGACTAAAACCCAAAATTCACATAAAAACCGTAAGTTCCTTTACTAATCCCTAAATGCAATAAATTGAGAAATAAATCCTGTTCTAAAACAAACATATTTCTTTTTAGGTTTTTTGAAATTATCTCTTAAGAAAAACAGGAGAAAAGAAGAGGAAAATAACAAAGCGAATCGCAGCTCCGACGTTATATTACTGGAAGAATCTTTTGAGAGATTAAAATCCGACTTTCCTAGAAAATTGAATGTAAGTTTATCTTTCTCAGTTCTCTGTATAAAAGCAATATAATTATGTATTTTTAGCACGTTTACGAAGATTTTAAAAATTGCGTGCATATTCATTAATTTTCTACTTTATTACTGGATTTAGTTATTTTTTTATAAGTGTTTCTATGTTTGATGTTTTGTATTTTCAGGGGACACCAACAATATATTCTCCAATAGTTATAAACGATTCGACCGAGTTGTCTGATGAATCCTTACCAAATATAGTGATCAAAGATAAGGAACCTAGCAAATTTGGAAATGTAAGTCATATTTTTTATTATTTTTAAGTCAAATTAGTTATTTTGAAAATACCATGTTGTCATTAAATATTTCTACAGTCCAAAACAGTACTTTACAGAATATATTTTAGTTAGATCTAGTTCCTAAAGATACACCAAAGTGTAGAAAATTATTATGTTATATTGAATGCAAGTTTTAATATTTTTAATGTTAATAGCTAGTTTTAATCATATTTTAAAAAAAGTCATTCCATTATTTGCTTAAGTCTATATTTACTTAACTTTGTAATAATTTTTTTCAGGTTTCATTTAACAAATCGATAGAAGAAAAATCACCACAATGCGCAAAAGAATCCAGACCCAGCATAGGTGGTTGGTCACCAGCGCAGAGTATTATTTGTGCCTCACCGAGGTACCAAACCGTACCTTCCACTCCTCGGGACATAGCTAACGAGTCACTTGAAGAATGCTCTCTGAAGAAAATTCAACAATCCCAAAAGAAGCTACTGAGCGATCTTTACGGAGAAACATGGAAATCGATACCAAAGCTATTTAAAGCCATATCTAAAAATTATGAAAACTTTGACGGTGTATCCAAAAAACTGCAGTTTGACGATGACGAAGACAAAGAAAATATCAGACATGACTTGCAACGCAACAAAGAGTTGTACCTTACCGGTTCAGATGCTAAGAAAAAGTTTGGTAATTTTTCTGAATCTGAGAAAAAATCGAAGAAAAAATTATACACGGAGAAAGTTCCTAGCACCCCAGACGTCCCGAAAACAAAACCCGTTAGAACCAGAAACGTTAACAGTACAACAAAAAAGGGAAAAGCAATGTCCGTGACAGAATTAGTAGAAATTATGAAGAAAGATGTAAACGAAGTGACTAAAAAAGCTGAAAATCTTTGCATTACTCCTACAAATGATGTCAAGAGGCTAAGTTTCGTAGGGTCTTTAGCAGGTATGATGTTTTTAGAATTTATTCAGTTAGATTTTACAACGATATCCTATTATTATAGATATTCGTCCAAGCTATAGAAAAAATAATAATTGAGTATTAAGATATAAAAAAAACATAATTTAGAAAACATTGACTTTGCTATTAACGCAAACTAGGTGGTTTGACATGATAAAGAATAGTGTTAATTTCTGCTGTAGTGAATCAGTGTCGGTGTGTTTTTTGTTATATCAAAAGTCAGCAAGATAACATGATTCATACATGACGTTTAACATACTAGCGGTCGCCCGCGACTTCCTACGCGTGGATCCCGTTTTACCCCCTTAGGGGTGGAGTTTCGTAAAATCTTAGTGATCTCTTACGTTCTAAAAGGAACCCCCATGCAAAGTTTGAGACTCCTAGCACTTATAGTTTCTGAGATTTCGTGATCAGTGAGTCTGTCAAGCAGTGACCTTTCGCTTTTATAGATATAGATTTTGTGATTATACTCAGCGCTATACAAATCCTGGCAATAAGTGGTGACTGAGTTTGTTCCGGCGTTTCTTCTCAGCACTTGCTATATGTTTGTCTCGAAGCGCTGGTAGGGCCCAAAAGATAAGGAGACATGTAAAGTGCCCCATAAGGGCTACATTTTCTACTGACGTTCATAAGTGCCACTTGTGGTCTAAACTGAATAAATATATTTGATTTTGATTTTGATTTTTTGGAAATACACAAAATAATCATCTTACCTTCATCTCCAGACAACGTCCCGAGCTGGCGATGTCACCCCGAAGCCTTCCAATACCGCGACAACTACAAACAGTTACGAGAGCAACTCACGCGCAGGTTGTATGCCGAGTTCAATAAGGTGGTGTTTGACGATGCGTTTGAGGAAGACATGCCGGTGGTGTGGGACTCCAAGCTTAGGAGCACTGCTGGGTAAGAAAAATATTTATACTTAAACTGTAAATCAAGCTAAATTGAAAACATTGGAGCAATAAAGAATTTAAATGTGCATAAGAAACAAATATCCTTCTTTATGTACCTATGACTTGGCTGGTTGAAGATAGTCCGTAGTGAAAATCCTAAGCTGCGCTTTTTTAAATAAATTAATATCCTTGGACATTTTACACTGCGCCTCTAGTTCCAAACTAAGCAAAGCTTGTACTATGGGTACTAGACAACGGATATAAACATACTTAAATACTTTTTTTGTAAATAAATACATAATTATACATAGAAAACACTCAGACCCGTCACAGAAATAAAAATTTATCATTTCAATTTCTGCCCGGCCGGGAATCGAACCCGGGACCTCTCGGCATAGTAGTCCGTTCTGCTGAACCACTACACCAAACGGCCGACGCCGCTTTATAATAATAATTCCTCAAAGAAGTACTGGTATGAATGAGTAATGTAGTTCAAAACCAATTTATGTATGAAACTAAATTACCTTTATCCATCTTCCAGCACAACAACAAACCGTCTCCTCAAGAACTCTCGTGGCGAGCGCAGACGCACGTCCAGTATTAAACTGTCCACCAAAGTCGTGGACGCGCCGCAACGACTGCGGGACACGCTCATACATGAGCTGTGCCACGCTGCGACGTGGCTTATTGACGGGGAGTTGAGAGCCGGCCACGGGCCATTGTGGCGCAAATGGTAAGACAAGACACTCACTCCAGCCACTCTTTTCATGCGAGGCGTTCTCTTACGCGAGCAACTCTCTGAAAGAAGTCACTCTGAAAAGAGTCACTCTCTGACGAGAGTCACTTTCTGACGCGAGTCACTCTCTGACGCGAGTCATTCTCTGACGCAAGTCACTCCCTGACGCGAATCACTCTCTGACGGGAGTCACTCTCCGACGCCAGCCACTCTCTGACGGGAGTCACTCTCTGACGGGAGTCACTCTCTGACGCAAGTCACTCTGACGCGTCACTCTCTGACGCGAGTCACTCTCTGACGTGAGCCACTCTCTCACGCGAGCTACTCTCTCACGCGGCTACTGTCTCATGCGAGCTATTCTATTCTCTCACAATACTCTCACAAGCCTCGCTACGCTATAAGAAACCGTCTCCTAAGAACTCTCGTGGCGAGCGTAGACGCACCTCCAGCATCAAACTGTCCACCAAAGTCGTGGACGCGCCGCAACGACTGCGGGACACGCTCATACATGAGCTGTGCCACGCTGCGACGTGGCTTATTGACGGCGAGCTGAGAGCCGGCCACGGGCCATTGTGGCGCAAATGGTAAGACAAGACACTCACTCCAGCCACTCTTTTCATGCGAGGCATTCTCTTACGCGAGCAGCTCTCTGATGGGAGTCACTCTGACGCAAGTCACTCTCTGACGAGAGTCACTCTCTGACGCGAGTCACTCTCTGACGCAAGTCACTGACGCGTCACTCTCTGACGCGAGTCACTCTCTGACGTGAGTCACTCTCTGACGCGAGTCACTCTGTCGCAAGTCACTCTGACGCGTCACTCTCTGACACGAGTCACTCACTCTCTGACCCAAGTTCACTCTCTGACGCCAGCCACTCTCTGACGGGAGTCACTCTGACGCGAATCACTCTCTGACGCGAGCTACTCTCACACGAGCCACGCTCACGCGAGCCACTCTTATAATAATATGCGAGTCACTTTCACGCTCGTACACGAGCTATGGCGAACGCAGACGCATCTCCAGCATCAAACTAATATATCTTTATACAGAGACCTAACTTCATTTATTCGGTATTTTCCAGGGCCACACACGCACTACGAAAGTTCCCAGAACTGGGCGAGATATCAAGATGCCACGACATGCAGATACACTTCAAATACTCGTACAAATGTACCAAATGCGGTTACAGGTGAGTTTCTTATTTTATTAGAACATTCAATTTGTAAATTATTTGGAACTATGGAATACCATCGAAATATCTACAACCAGTGTGTGTTACCAGTGATGATATACGGCTCAGAAACGTGGCCGCTCACTATAGGCCTTATAAATAAGCTCAAAGTTGCACAGCGTGCTATGGAAAGGACTATACTCGGTGTTTCTTTACGAGATCGAACCAGAAATGAGGAAATCCGTAAATGAACTAAAGTCGCTGACACAGCCCGACGGATTAGCAATATGAAGTGGCAATGGGCAGGGCACATAGTTCGCAAAACTGACGGTCAATGGGGCAGCAAGGTTCTGGAGTGGAGGCCACGTTCCGGAAAGCGCAGCGTAGGACGTCCACCCACAAGGTGGACCGACGACCTCATAAGGATAGTAGGAAGGCGCTGGATGCAGGCCGCTACCAACCGGTCATTGTGGAAATCATTGGAGGAGGCCTATGTTCAGCAATGGACATCTTATGGCTGAAATGATGATAATGATCGAAATATTGTACTTACACATGAATAACATAAGGCTTGCTTTTCGTGAATTCCGTGATAATATGCCCATAATCACTGCTTACCTGCTTATTGAGCAGGTTTCAAGACGCCATGTGGTCCAAACTCCAAAGCGGGTTGATCATACGACAACCTACTCGACAAATTCGAAGTGTTTCAATGTTTTTACATATTCATCACTTCACTGCACTTTGAAACACAAAATAACACTAGATTTGTACACTAAATTCCATTAAATATGAAAACTATTAAAACAGATCGACCATGCTTTCTGTTCAACTACCCTCCTCGGAATCACTGTCGTGGTAGAAATGAAGAGAAAAAAACTAAACGCCTGGCTAAAAAGTATACGCAATTACCATCCGATGTAACAATCTTCTCCTTTAATTTTAAAAGGCGTTTAAAAGAGTTCGTCCCTGCAAAATACAAGCAGATAAAGTTTTATTACAAAAAACTAAAACGTAAAACACGTGTTTAAAATGACATTTCCGTACTAAATGTCAATTTAAACATTTTTTTTTACTATTCGCGGATTTATTGCCGCGTTGATTCAATTTAAACATTGTTCAACACCCGTTTACCTTGTTAACCCTACTGTATTTACGTATAGTTTTTATCAAGGGTCCTTCTTATAGTATAAGTTTTGCTCTGTTTGCTAGTTTTAAAACATTACCTTTATTATTCCACAGCATCCAACGCCACTCGAAATCCATAGACACAACAAAGAAATGCTGCGGCTACTGCAGAGGCACCTTCGAGTTGATCCTAAACAAGAAAACCAAAGAAGGCCTGGTGGTATCCACTCCAGCTCGGAAGGGAGAAGTCAGCGAGTTTGCCAAATACGTAAAAGAGAACTACGGTTCTGCCAAAACTGGCAGGAGTCACGCGGAGGTCATGAAATTGTTGGGAGAACAGTTTTCTGCCAAGAAAAAGGTTAAATCAGTTGATTTATTGTAAAGGTTCATTTTAGCTACATTATGTTGTATATTTTTGTTTAATAGTGTTTTATAACAAAGGAGATGACTGATAATGTTTAATAAGTTTAATAAGAAGGTATGGCAAACAGTTGTATTATTACTAATTGTTCACAATCGTTAGCCGTTAAAAAAATGCGTCACGTAACAGGACACTAAACTTGTTTTAGTATGTTTGCCATAAAAGCAATGTTTAGCATTGTGCATCTTATTTTATAATTTTACTCTTGCCTGACAGTGGTGTTGCTTTTTCTGATTCATGACTTGTAAAAGATGAAGAATGTTTTTAAATTATATAGTTTGTATAACTTATACAACCTTATTTGTAAAACGTATTATAAAGTCACCAAACTGAGAAGTAATTATTATGCAAAAAACCCTATAATAACTGAAATAGTTTATGAAGTTATCAATCTTTGTTACCAAGGTGAAAATGCTACGAAAACGATACTGGTGCTGAAGGTAATAATTGCGTGTCTACCGAAATGTTATATCGATTTTATATAAACATTATTAGTACCGTAAGGTAAGTATATCATTTTTTTACGATTTTATGTTTGATAGAGAATTAATCTTATTCTCACGACTGATTATTTGTAGATAATCATTTGTAGACCATTATTTAGAGACCATTGCACTGGTGGCAATGAATTTCTGACTTTATTTCTTATAAAATAAAACACTTTTTAGGTAAATTTATTTGTAAAATTTTTAGCTGATCTTATCAATCGTGAAGTTAATGAATTTTGGCTACCAATATACTCAGATTTTGAATATTTAACTGAAATTGGAGAAAGATGTATAATTTTTGAGAAATTTATACAATTTCGAGCAACCGATGTATAATAATTTATAAAATACAATATTTTTAAAAATGAAAATTTTGAGGTAATGTTTACTCATAATATAATTTAATAATATTGTCTATAGATTGTTATGACTGTACATATATTTGTGTATAATTATATTTCAGGGTTTCGTTGTAATTTGTTATTTATTAATTAATATTTAGACAATTTAGACGTCATACGAAGTGATCGTATAGTTGTACTAATGTAATTTTGTAAATATTATGAGAATATATAATATACTTTGCACGACTAGACTTTTTTTAAATATTCAGTATTTTAGGCTCCAACAAATAAAACAACCCATTTTATTACCGTTTTTATTAATTTTTACATATTAAATGTCACTTATCATTTCGTCCATGATAAGGTAGGTACAGTCTTAGACATATTTGAAAAAAAATCGTATAATTTACATACAACAAATCGAGTTTAGTTCAGCGGGTACTCCACAGTAACCCTTCGTTTTATATACAAAATTAAAAGTATCCAAGTATGGTATTAGAGATATACCTACCATAATACAATTTATATTTACATAGATGGAACAAGCAATGTAATATCCTCAAATCATATTTATGTTAGTACAAAGAACTGTATTTTTTTCTCATAAATAATCTTTGATTTTTTTCTAATTTATACAATTATTTTCATTACCTATCTAGAGTAGGGTCAACATTTATTTGAGATATTTTTTGTCTATATTAACACGTATTATGTTCAACATTTATGTAGTCTAATAAGATATCATTATAATAATGATTTTATTTTAATAATTAAATGGCAGGATAAATGGTATAGTGATAACTCCACTGGCATGGTTTGAGAGGCTGTATAAGTCTGTTTTGAGTAATTTATACATGTATAAGTGGAGTTATCGAGTTCGTATAAATTCATGTATTGCATTGAGGTAATGTGCAATGCTGATATATCGTGTTATGTATCTAAATTGTGTATCTAATGTCGCATTACTAATGTTAAGGAATCTCTAAAGTGGTAACATTTAATAGGACATCAGATATTTTTACATTGTACAAATTACAACATAATTCAATTACTTTCGTATAAAAAATATTTAAATCACACATTATGTAAAATAACAGTTATTGCAACTATATGTCACTAATAGAAAAACGTGTCGTAGAATTAATAAAACATTAATATTAATTGAAAATTAATAAAATCAGTGGCACAAAATTATTATTTCAAACATTCGATAATTTGCGGGATTCAAGGGATATTAAATCTTAAGTATACTATGCTATGGACTGTTTTGTTTCAAACAAAATTTAATATCAATATCACATACAGTTTAAATCTATATAATTATATAAAATGGAGCATATTATTATAAATACGTATCTATTAATGGCATTAACTAGGGGTTTTGCTTCGTACAATTAATAATGTTCAACAAAATGGGGACCTGGTAAAATTATTAATAATGCTTGATTTAGAAAAAGATTCATTTTTAATTTGATAATTTAATACACTATCAATATTATAAGTGTAATTATTTAAATTTATTTACATTTATTTTTGCAATTAATTTTCATACAGTGAGTTTTATTTAGTCGAAATGTTAAAATTATTTTTACACATCAATTATGTTATACTCGTGAGTCATTCGTTCATTTTTACTTAAAAAAAACTGCAATCAAGCGTCCGCACATTCGTCCAACAGTTTAGATATCTATTAAATCTTTTCAACATTTTATAAACAGCAATATCTCAATATTTCCATTTATTCCACGATATTTAACTTAAAAACTAGATGGCATTATCCATTCAAGACGATGCTTGCAATATACAAAAGTCGCTAAACTAAAATGGCTATATACATTAGGCTTTAATTATTGTTGGCTTAAATACGACCTAATTAGACATTTACATAGGTACATAGACGTGTGACGTCATTTAGTGTGGGGAGAGAGCTCCTGTATCAAAAGCCGAGTTCTGCCGGGTAGGGCAGAGAGATGGTGAATCAGGTTTGCGAGGGTTTGTCTTCCAAGGGGCGGAATCTGACGAAGCCGTCTTGGGCGACGAGCATGCTGTTCCCATCAGCCTCGTTCGGATGCAATTCATCCTGAGGCTGCGAGTACGAAGCATCATACGCACAGGACCTAGGAGCCGGCTGCGGAGCCGGCCCCAAAGCGCATGGATAGCTCCTCTCATTGGGATCCTCAGAGAAACCGTACAAGTCAGTCGATTTCGGTCTCTCCGGGAACCCATTCCCTTTCCCCCTTTTCTGACTCCCGCTCGAATTGATCACCGACGTCGAAGGCGAATTCCGACGCTGCGAACTCCTTATCTGATCACCATACCCCCTATTCGGGTTCAGAGTCTGAATCCCAGACGCGTGGTACGACGCGTTCTCTGTATTATAATTGCCATAATCGTCTGGCATATGCGGCTGGTGGTAGTGGTGCCCTATAGACGAGTCGTACCCCATCGTCATGCAATTCTGAACGTTCTTGTTCTTGACCCGGTGCTTTTTGCGCGGGTTGCTGTTCGTTCTGGAAGATACCCTATCGTAGGACATGTGTTTGAAGTTGTGCGAGCTGCGGTTGGAACCGCTGTTGTAGTTCTGGTTTTTGATGTCGCGAATAAAGTCGCTGTTACTGCCGTATTGGATGACGTTATACTCGTGGTCTAAGGGCTCGTCACCCTGTAAGGATTGAATCGGGTCGCAGTTAGAATAATGGTCATCCGACGCTGATTCTATCCCATTGTATCCAGCCATGCTTGGATGCGGTTTGATCAAATGATTTGTGACACCCTGACTGGACGTAGCATTGCTGGATTCAGTCGAAGTACTGTGCCCAGCGTTAGCTATAGAACTGTGCCCTGAATAGTTCTCCGTGCCTGAGTTATTATCGCAGTTCCCAGCTAAAGTGTTCAGGAATCTGGGATGATCGGGACCGCAGTACTGGTCAGGCAACGTCGGATGATGCCCTGCAGTTTCGTATATCGGCTTACCCATCCTTACGTTGTACGTCTTAAGGTTGGTATTCGTCCCGCAAATGGCTGGGTAGTCGGATTCGAACTGCTCGTTACTGGAACCAGTCGTGCAAGGGAAGAGACCTAAGCCTGATATTTTGTTGCCATCCGTCTTCTCGTGCTGAAGTGACGTCACTAACTTTAAGCTAGTGACCCAAGAGATGAGAGCTACTATACTGATTTCTATGAGCCGCAGGGAGAACTGGTAACCCCATTGCAACCAGTTGAACTTGGTCATGTTCATGTGGTTGATCCCAAATATCCCGTATATTTGAAGCAAGGCCATCAGAACGAACAGCAGAGCCGTGGCCAAGTTTATATGTATCGCCTGGTAGAAATTCTTGAATCCCACCTGGTATGTATTACTCTTTCTCTGCAATATTGATTTTAATTTTTTATATACATAGAGGTAGCAAATGCCCAGGATAAGACACGCTAGAATAAATATTATTTGACAAGTTAGACCTAATACCCTTTTTTCGACCCCCTGCGGAGTTCTATAAATTGTGTTACTATTTTCAAAGATATGTAATACTAAACACGATAATATGTGCAGGCTGCCGCCGATTATGATCGTCCTAGGACGAAATAGGAAAGAGCAGCACGTCGTTTTAAAGTTAATGCTATTCGTTAAAAGGAACAAAATGGTGCAAGAGAACGCTATACTCAAGAAAATCTCTGGGACGTGCAGGAGAATCTCGCTCAAGAATATCGGCAAAGAATTCTTGATGTTATAAGGGTCGTAGCACATGTAAAAGATCCTCATCAGACAAACGAAAACGAGGATCAAGTGTAATATAATGAAGTAGTACTGTGTAAATAAATGTGTTATTCTATTATAGACTATGATTTTGTAAATTGAATAAATAGCTAAGATTGTGAATATGATGGTGGCGGAGTGGACGTGGAGTCCCCACGCGAAAGGCCAAGTGATTCCTTGCCTCTGGACAGGCCCGTTGTTCTTCTGGTCGTGTTTCAGCATCTTCTTATCAGAGTTCACGTTTGCTAAGTTGTGATATCTCTCCGTAGACATTTCTGGGTCCCGTAGCTCAAAGCCTATGGTCGTGGCTGGAGTGTAGCTATCATTCTTCCTCTCATCTATTTGTTTGTTGGTAGCATACTGGAGGTTTCTTCTTGTATTGGTCTCTCCATTCTGGTCTACTATCAGGGGCCTATCTAAGTTGTTCATTTCTGGGTCTAATACTGCTAGGACTGATCCTTCCGTTGAGGAGTCCCTGTTTGCATCGCTGAGAGTCACTCCGGCATCTTTAGTGATGTAGATGTCGGATTTTGAGGTCCTCTCCTGATTGTGTTGAGGTTTGGCTGTGACTGTCCTCAGGAGCACATCTGGTATGTCCTCCTTGCGGCCATTGGAGCCGGATAGGATCCGGGATATGGTCGGGATGTTCAGGGAATTCGGGACGAAGTCCGTGAAGTTAGCTTGGTCTGTCCCGTGCTTGACGTCGCTGTCTAATTCGTCGGGCTGGAAAGAGAGAAGAATAATAATTAGAAACGATTGAAGAACAGTGTAGAACAGATGTGGGTAACTCACAGATCACAGAAACTAAAGGGAGATGTGACAAGGGGGCGGGGCCAGTGTCGCAGCAATGTGCCCAAAAACAGAAATGCTCGTGAAAGCATTGATGACAGAAGCGACGTCATAATGTAAACAGTTTACATTGCTTGCGTAGTACTAAACATTATACGAACGTTGAGTACTGATACCGCAGTGGATAATGAGAACATATTTTGATTTCTTTGTTTGTGTGAATTAATGCGGCACTGAGTTTCGAACTCAGTAGGCATCTCTCTATATCTATGGGGTAACTCTTGAATAAAACAGAGCTGGTAAAGTCAATACCAACCTTATGGCTAGGGGTGTTGAGTGCTTTCTTCTTCTGGGGCTCGAGACCCGCTGGGGGAAGCGGCGGCGCAGGCGGCGGCGCCGGCACTTGTGGGGACGATGTTTCCTGAAAATGGGGGAATATTTAGTTAAATTACGTTACAATACTTCATCAGTGACCCGATTACGCTATTTTTTAACGTCTCCAATACAGACGCGCTTCTTCGATTCTGCGATACGGATTTGTCAAAACAGCTGACGTCCGGGCTCGTTGAAGATGAAAATTTTTAGCGTAATCGGGGCACAGTTCTTTTATTTCAGCCAAATGACGTCCACTGCTGGACAAAAGCTATTAGGACCGGTCATTGTGAAGATCAAACATTTCCACAACGACCGGTCTTGCACTGCACACATCCACGTGCTTCTCGAGACTTTCACCAGATCGTCGGTTCACTTAGTGGGAGGCCTGCCCAAGTGCCCACACTACATCTTCTGGCCCGTGGTCGCCACTTGAGAATTTTATATACTATAGTATAAATAAGAATTAAGGGCGTCTATATTATGTGAAAAAATGGTTACCTGTCCCGGAGGTCTGATGGGTATCCTCTCGTGGCCTGGCCCGAGGGAGGGGGGAGGGATCGGCCGTCGGTTGAGATAGTTGTTCCCATCCGTGTTTGTGCCTGGAATTTAGAGAAAAACACAAATTAAATTAAGAATTTTACTTTAAGAATCTCCTTGGCATAAGCACTGTATGTAATTTATAACGAGGGGGAACCAGTAGAAGTGATCAGGTGCCTCATCGAAAATCTGGACGTAGAGGACTAGGATTTTGTTATAGAAGCTGTCATGGTCCAAAACAAAAAATTAGTAACTACGTTCTTCTATCGGAGAATCTCATAATTATTCTAGAATCGGCGAAAATGAGTTGCCATAGGAGGCTGAGTTGTAATTTCGAAATCTCTTCGTTCTTGGTGGTTCGATGACGGTGACAGTTAGGGTACTTCGCTCAGTGAAGCGATCTTTAAATCAAAACTTTCACGAATGTCGAGTCGAATCGAGCGAAACACTCATTATGCTGACGTCTTACAGTCGTTTCAGCCGAATGACGTCCACTGCTGGACATAAGCCTTCCCCAAGGATTTCCACAAAGACCGGTCCTGCACCGCCCGCATACAGGCACCTTCACCAGGTCGTCGATCCACCTAGCGGAAGTCCTGCGCACACTACGTCTTCCGGCACGTGGTCGCCACTCGAGAGCTTTTCTGCCCCAGCGCCCACTGACACTTGATTTTAGCGATTCTGCGGGTTGTCAGTCACTTTGGTTCTCCTACGGATCTCCTCATTTCTGATTCGATCACGCAGGAAAACTTCGAGCATAGCACGCTCCATCGCCCTTTGGGTGACCTTGAGCCTTCTTATGAGGCCCATAGTAAGCGACCACGTCTCAGATCCGTATCACCAGATACCATCACTGGCAACACACACAGTATCTAATCTAAAAGAAGAAGAAAGAAACATACCTCTAAGTGTCGGCTTGTCAGCAAACGGGTTCCTATACTCCGGCGGCAGGGGGGGCGTGAAGAAGGCCCGGCCGGGGGGGGCGTACGAGGGCACCGCCCCCGCGCCCACCCCGGCCAGTAGTGCCGCGCCGTGGTGTTGGGGGGGTCTGTGGGAAAAGAGGGTTTCGGTAAGTTTTTTTATCATCATCATCATCAGCAATCTTAATCATAGCGTCATCATGATTTTAGCCATAGGATGTCCACTGCTGAACATAGGCCTCCCCCAATACTTTCCACGTTGATCGATTGGTAGCGGCCTGCGTCCAGCGCTTCCCTGCTACCTTTACGATGTCGTCGGTCCACCTTGTAGGTGGACGTGATAGCGTCAATTGATCATAATTTTAGTAATTTTGTCTCCACTGCAAGACCACGACACTAAGGGTGGGTTGCACCACCTATCTTTAACGGTAACTATGACGATAACCGGTGCTTTTTTTATGGAATTTGACAGATTTTTGACGTTTGTCAAAGTTAAAGTAAGATGGTGCAACCCAGCCTAATTAAAGAGAGGCACATGGTGCCGAACCGTATGTTCCCATATTTCTCCCTTAGTCAACTCTTGCAACAAAAAACTTATACCCTATACTTTAAAAAAGGATAAAGAAAGTTTAAAACTAAAAAATCACAGCTACTTGGGGATAAACTCTATTATTATTTTAATCTGTGGTTTAGGGATTCATTGTAGATTCATTTATCGTACATATTTTGAGAGACTGCTCCAGATTTTTTTCTCTCTTCACGTTGTCAATAGTTAATGTAAGTAAAGTTCTTTAAACAAAGCATGTACCTGTTTCCACAAACCGACATCTAGCTAAAACTAAAACTGGGTATAAAACTTCAATATCGCTCGTAACTAAACTACCAATAGAATTCACTACCAATGATATTCTGAATACGAATGAACTATTAGCTTGTTAACCCTAACGAAGCGTAGTCAAACATTGTCGTAACCCTAAAAGGCATTTAACATTTTAGGCCCGTAGCAGACCGGCGACTTTTGCCTCGACGATATCATGAAGCGACGTAGCTCAAAATTAAAAAATCGGAATGAAATTCGATACTGCGATCGAACGCAGTCGCCGAAACGTGATGCAGTCGTAAAGTCTGCAACGGCCTTAGCAATCTAAACCAGACGGTTTACAAAAGCAAAAATCTGTTCGAATTTCAAATTCGAAAATGCAGAATACGTTAGGATATGCAATACGCGATTCTAAGCCCGCTGACAATGCCATGCAAATCCGTTGTTCGTTGCGTTTTCAATAAGAGCATTATTGGAATGGCATGGTTCATTACAAAATGCTGAGGTTTTCAAATTGCGCCATTTTGGTTGTTCAAGCGATTATGTGGCACATGGCCGGTGAATACGATCATAATAATATTGGTGATTAAATTATATCGTTATGTTTATGATTTTGTAATACGTTCAAACGAGAGCACTAAGTGAAACATTTTAGCGTGTGCTGCAGTATTAGAAGCTATTTTGCACCAAAAATACTAGGAATCCCACCTCACCAAAATGTACAGCTTTGTAATGAAACCTCACAAATTTACTCTGATGTGCTCGACTGTACCTACGTCTGCCTTTGACATCGTATTGTCTATGCTTCACCGAGTGATTAGCTCTCTAGTCTATAGGTAGGTAGGTATTAGGTAACAAACGTATAGTACGAATGCTAAAACGTAGGTATTTTAGGACCTCACTAGCAGCCTGCCTGCTTGCGACTTCGTACGCGTGAAAATTGTTTGAATAATATTTCCCATGTTTGCAACATTTTATCTTTACTGCTCTACACCTAATAGCTGTAGGCTGATGTTAAAACATTAAATTTTCGGATAGATCCAGTTTATTCTGTAACCTATTATAGTTACCGTTTGAAAGAGCTGGTGAAGCTTCAGGATTAGTAACAAGTTTTTCGATATCTTGTATAATTTTGAAATTAATAATTTAATCGAATGAGATCACTTATCGTTTCCATCCTCTAGATTCGTTGATTCCAAGTTCAAAGAACTTTGCCACTTTTTCTTATTCCTAATTCAATAATCATCTCATAAAGTTTTGTTTTTAACATAATGTATTCTCTTTTGTTGAACTGTAGAACAGAATACCTAATAGAATAAAAATCCCACGTTAATTAATGAAATATTTAACAAGCTGATCCTTTTAATAACATTAGTTAAACAACCCCGACGGTTAGAGTAGTCCTTAGTCCTAGCTTAAATATAACTCTAACCGTTTCCAACTAAATTCTGTTTGATCGTAGTTATTTAATATTACACGTGTTATAATGTTATGAATAGGTTTGCCTAAATAAAAGCATTACTTTACATTGCGTTTTTACGCGAGCTTCAACTTTATACTATTTTTAATTTAACCTTACCACTGTTACGGGCATGTATGGGAGTGCGCACACTACGCCGATTCGATTTGGCCGATTCTTCGTACAATTTAAAATCGGGCACAACTATCGGCCAACTAAAAATCAACGGTGTGCAGTACTCTAAGGGCCGATTTTTCAAACGTCGGATAACTTTTAACTGAAGAATAAAGGCGCATTGGGGGTGGATTCAAACAAACAAGAGTAAATATAATATCAGAATAAATCGTCTGTTTTGACATATTTCCCATACCGAATCTGTCAATGTGCTAGTTAGACCAGTTTCTCGGATAAAAGTTTGGTTGAATCGGGCCTGAAAGTTTCAGTATGGAATATAGTACCAAAATGACAAGTTTTTCTTCAGTTGAAAGATACCGAGCCTTATGGCACAGAATAAGTAATATGTAGTAGGTAAAATGCTAATGGCAACTAGAAACTCAGTCCCTATTCGCTGGGTGCGAAGTACTAGGTGGGGGGGACATAATCTATCGCAGCGCTCATGGTGGTCAAAAGTAGAAATAATGTTAGCTCTGTCATCAGATGTATCTGTCAATGGCAAAGCGATTCTACATAATAGGCCAGTAGAATTAAACACAAAAATTGATTAAATCGGAAATAATTCCTACAAAAGATTTTTTTGCTTTAATGGCTTCATTGGTTGCCCATTAAGACTCTCCTAAGTTTTCGACTTCGACGGAGTTGTGCTTAAGTGGTGGGGGCCCCCGAAAGGGGCATTTTTTCGGTTTTCCGGTTATACCGCGTAAAGGACTTACCTTATCGAAAAGTGGTCTTCTTGACGGTTAAAGGGCACTTAATCCTGCATTGAATAAGACCAAATTCATATGTTTTGGACAAACCGTTCTCGCGCTAAAGTTCGGCAAAGTAGAAAATATACGTATAATTAATGACCCTCTCCACGTCCAATGGCTTGATACCCACATGCTTCCAAGCCTTGTAAAGGGTCGCCTTAACCAGTGTAACCCTAACAAGGCTCACGAGTTTAATTCGCTTATCCTTGTTCGTCCCAGCCGTTCCTTAACTGCGGTTGCTGCACCTCTTCCTGGCACTCTCCTGAACGACTCTGTGTTACCTAATGTGGCTGCCCCTCTTCCTTGTACCCTCTAAGGAAGGATAGGCGCATCAAGCTCGTAAGCCTTGATAGGGTTACACTGGTTGAGGTGGCCCTTTTCAAGACTTCGAAGCCTGTGGGTAACAAACCATTGGACGTGGAGAGGGTAATTAATTATACGTATATTTTCTACTTTGCCGAACTTTAGCACGAGAACGGTTGGTCCAAAACATATGAATTTGGTCTTATTCAATGCAGGATTAAGTGCCCTTCAACCGTCATGAAGACCACTTTTCGATAGGGTAAGTCCTTTACGCGGTATAACCGGAAAACCGAAAAAACCTGACACAATCAAAATTAAACACACTTTTTGGACTTACCTCATTTGATTTGAATGACCAAAATGATTTCAAAACCTTTTTTCCACCCAAATCGTGGTATCACAACAATTTATTAGTTGAAAATATTTGTTATTTTTTCATTTCGATATTTTTTCACAAATATACGACCTAAATGTCAATGTGACAGAGCCCACAAAGTTGTGGACGCTAGTTGGCGCTGTAATCGTGCACGGAGCCAATAGCTTTTCAATTACAAAGCTTGCTTTTATGGCAGGATAGACCGGTTTTAAAACGTTTTTTAGGCATTTTATGGGTCTAGCTACTGTTTTTGCTTTAAGTAATATATCATTATGGCGTAAAAATTTAATGTGAACTATTTTGTTTTTGGAAAAAAGTTTCCTTAGAAGTCTTTATGAGTAATGAAAGGCAATAAGTAAAAGGTCAAAATAATTATTACTGATTGATCGTCTACTTTTAATTTTGCGCTAAAAAGTAGATTTTATATTAAGTAGTAGGTAAGTATAGTTGTGAGTAAGGTAACTAGCAGACTGACAAAGGTTTCTTCCACTTCCGTGGTCTATTGGTAAGTAGAATTGGGGCTCAGGGTTTTCTCAGAAAAGACAAATATTTTTGTGTACCTAATGTTTAAATGTTCCAAGTTTCGTTAAATTCAATAAACCAAATATGGTTTCAAAACATTTTTAATTTTTCTGAAGGCACATTCTGATTGTGCCATGTTCACACGTTAATGAACTACCAGGATTGGACCTCAATGGCTAAAACCTTCCAACCTAGAACCTTGCATAGCCTTAACCATCGTGGGAAACATTCCCCGATAAAGTAAAAGAAAAACGAAAATCAGAGGCAAATCCGTTCACCGGAGCGGTCCCTCGGGTCGTACAGTCCACCGCCCATCAAGCTACCCATTTTCGTCCCAAAATAGCTCATATTCCAACGAAATAAGATCTCACTTTTACCTTGATGTGTCGACTGTATAGCGATCTAGTTAGAACTCAAATCGCTTTAGCGACGGCTAACTTACAATTCGATTTGTCTATGGCCAAGTCCATCGGATTACTTTTTAAATGTCGGGTAAATCACGAGTCATTTAGAGGAGTGTGTTTGATGTGATGGACTTTAGGGCGATATTTAAACAATTTACCTATAAAGTGGATCATAGTGATGTTTTGCAAAAGGTTTTAAGTGACAAATTATCTAATTTAAATAGGTATTTTTTTAATAAAAAATTTATAGTTACCGTACGTTGAACACCGTCTCCTACCTGTATAACAGTTATAATATAACAAATAATTAATAATTGA